GGGACTCTGTCAAAGGCTTTGCTAAAGTCGAGATATACCACATCATAATTGTGCCCCTCGTCCACCGATTAGAAAACTGATGAAAAGAATGTTAATAGATTAGGTAGACAAGAACGTCCGCTTGTGAAGCCATGCTGGGAATCATTGATCAATCGGTGCTTTTCCAGGTGATTTCGAATAGAGTTTGAAATGATTGCTTCCAGTAATTTGCCTACTATTGATGTTAGACTGATTGGGCGGTAGTTAGAGGATAGTGATCTATCCCACTTCTTGAAAATCGGTATTACATTCGCTATCTTCCAGGATTCTGGTACTACACCTGTTTTTAAGGACAAGTTAAACAGCTTTGCTAAGGGCATACTAAGCTCTTCCTTACATTCCTTTAATACTCTGGCAAATATCTCGTCGGAACCAGGTGACTTATTAGACTTTAGTTTGTCTATTTGCTTACTAACATCGTTACTAATCACTACTATCTCGCTTAATTTGTTTTCTTCACTATCTCTGAATAGAGTCGGTGCCTTGGGTATCATGTTTAAATTTTCGGTGGTGAAAACTGTTGAAAAATATTTATTCAAATTATTGCTCATTTCTCTGTTGTTATTAGTGAGCTCGCCGGTATCTGACCGTATTGGTCCAATATTTTCTCATGTTTTAGTTTGATACATTTGGAAGAATCTTTTGGGGTTTGTCTTCGCCTCCCTTGCTATCCTTACCTCATTATTCCTCTTGGCTTTCGTTATCTCGGTTTTAACCCTACTCGCCAATATCTTATAATAATCCTGGAGGTAAATTTTGCCACGCTTTATCCTTCTACCTTCAGTATAGCCTTCCTTTGGCCAATGATGTTCTTTAAATAATTATTTATCCATTTAGGGTCATTGTTGTCTGATCTGAGTTTTTTGTATGGTATGTTCTGCCTCTGTGCATTCAGTAACTCATTATTTAAATTGACGTGGAACTCGGCAGTCTCAGATGTCGTTATCAGGTCGGAGTCATCTGCCAGGTTCACAGTCAAGCGCGACATCCCCTCTCTCAGCTGCCTCTTTAAACTGTCAAAGTTTGCTCTTCTGAATTCTGGTACTTTAGTGGAATTTTCCTTACGTCTGCCCTGAAAATCTAACTGGAATCGAATTTCTTTGTGATCGCTGTTTGCAAGTTCGTTCCCTACCTCGACATTGCTAATGAGGTTTTCTCTGTTTGACAGAACTAAATCGAGTATATTATTACCCTGTGTGGGTTCGGTTATATGTTGACTTAGGAAACAGTCCTGGATCGTCTCGAGAAAACCCTCTGATTCTCAGTTATCCGTAAGGTCAGTCCAATCTATTTGGCCAAGGTTAAAGTCGTCTACTATACAGACTTTGTTGTGTATGGAAGCCCTGCGCATTTCATCCCAGATAAGTCGCTCATTCACTCTATCAAGATTGGGAGGTCTATATATTACTCCTGTGATTAATTTTTCCCTACCGTCGCTTAGTTCTATCCAAATTGTTTCTGTATTCCGCTCAGTTTTTATTTCCTTATTTATTTCACACTTCAGATTATCCCTAACATAGATTGCTACTCCGCCTCCTTTCCTGGTCTGCCTATCGGTATGGAACAGTTTGTAACCCGCAATTTGGTATTCGACTGGTAACTCACGTGTGTCTAGGTTGATCCATGTTTCAGTGAATGCTATTATATCGATTTTTTCGGTACATACCAAGGCCCTAATATCATCCATTTTGTTTCTCATACTTCTACTGTTCGCGTAGTAGACATTTAAGTTAGTTGTGTTCTGAGTCCTCCCTTTACCGCGTTTAGTTTTAAACTCCCTGTTTAATTTAGTATTGTCATCATTCCTAACACTATTTCCCTGTAATCTTTTACTTTGTTTACCTGCTCCCACTGCCGTTTCCCCCACCCCCATGCCCATATGTTCCCTTAGCAGTTTAAAGACTTCTATATCCTTTGAACTGCCCCCTCTAGAGACCCAGCCAGGGTTGCCACCCCATCTCGAGACAGGTGCACCCCATCCCTAGCATAAAGGTCCCTTCTGCCGTAGAAGTTGTCCCAGTTGTCAATGAATGGGACTGATATTGACTTGCAATATCTGCCAAGACGGTCGTTGACACCAACTGCCCTTGACAACCATTCACTGCCAACTCTCCTTCAAGGCAGGACACTGAGTATGATAGGGATCCCTCCCTTAGACCTAATACGATCTATAGCTGCCTTGAACTTATCAAGAAGCTCCTCGCTCCTACACCAGCCAATATCATTGCCTCCTGCACTGAGGCAGATAATGGGTTTGTTCCCATTACCAGACAAGATATTGTCCATCCTGTCAATTATATCCCCCACCCCAGCTCCTGGCAAACACACCCTCATCCTATTTTTGTTTTTACCACAAAAGGCCCTGTCCATGTACCTTACCTGTGAGTCACCAACAAATAAAGGTTTTTATTCCTTCCTTGTCATCCCTGTCCCTGACTGTACTAACGACCAATTCGTCTATCAATGGACTGAACGAGTTGGTACACTTAGCTGTTGTTGTCGTTGTTGTCGTATCCTTGGTGTACTTCTTCACCACCAACTTGGTCCTCCCACTCTTCACAATCTTCCACTCACTTGAGTTTTCGTCAGACACTGGCTTTCCCTGTCTAGCCTCCCCTTTTAACCTCGCCAGCTCTTCCCTTAATTTTAGGTTCTCCAACGTGGCCCTCTCAATTTCTTCCTTGGCCCTCGCCAATTCTTCCATGGACCACTCCAGTTTGGTCAACAAACTCGCACAACCAAGACAGCACATAGCGCTGGCCATATCTGATAATTATCCCTCAGGAGCTAACCCTGCCGTGACCTTTCCCCTAGTGAGGCCAGAAATTGAAAGTGAATGCATATGTTTTACAATAAGTTAAATATGTCTACATACGGATGAAATATTCAAGATCCCTTGTGAGTGATGTTGAAAGCTTCAACTGTATTTGCTTTTAGTAAAATTGTCAAATAAGTTCAGTGTAGAGTTTGCCAGTCAAACGACGAATCCCTGACATCGTCCTTGGGGCCGCCCCGAGTTTCCAATTCCTACTGAAGTTAGACCATTTGATTCCCAATCATCAGAGAATCTTATGATTGCATTGAAATTAGTGTCAGTTTTGTATTTTAGAAAGTAATTAATCTCCTGAAAGAATATGTCGGTCTCGCATCGCCCTCATCTAATGGCAAGATCTCAATATTCCCTTGTCCAAATTTTGATGAGGTGATAAGAATACCGTTAACAGCTTGTGCGTTTGACGTCAATTTCACTATTGCCTGGCAAGCATGAGCTCTGATTAGATTGTAAACAAATCTCTTAATAAATTGATCTGACCCATGACACTGATTTTCATAGCCAAATGTACAGCAACTGATTTAAAGGAAATTTATGTAAATGCGTGAATTGCCTGCCTTTGATTACCCTGAGTTGCCATTTGCCTCGTATATAACGGCGTGCACGGGAGAGAGTCACTTTTCTGATGCTCTCTTATCGTATCTCAGGTATATTAAGTGAATTTAACTCAATTAAACTTTTATAAATATCAATGTTATCGCCACTGGCTTCAGCTACAGTGCTGGCGTGTGATGCCATTAAATCATTCGATCTGTGACCTCGCCAGATGTAGAAGTGTTTACAGACAAGTCCTGGTTCTGCTGAGTGGACTGTCTTCGACGGGTGGCGGTGGCTGCCCGCTCCTCCATGAGACAGATCGCCCTCTCTAGTGATGCTGTGAAGACCAGCCTTCTGTCCGAGAATTTGTGCTGGGACGATTTACGCATTATTGTTTTCTCTTGGAACACCATACTGATCTGCATTGACCCGCACTTGTAAGTACAGCCTAAGTGATGACATACCCCTTGGTACTGAAATATTGTTGACTAATTACGCCTACTCGTTTCTGCCTAACCTGGAGTAATAAGACAATGCAGAGTGAAGCGAAGCTAAGATTAATAGAGTGATGAACTTTGTGTTATGTCAGTATGTTTAATAAATTGTAATTAAGAAAAAATTGTATGAGACTAACTAATTATGTATCAGATGGATCACCTTGTAATATTAGGAACGCCTTCTCCTCTGCAGGTTTTGACCACATCAATAAATATTGAATGCGTCAAAAGACGGGTTTCAATCATTTCCTTCGACTTGTCCGTAACCTGAACTTCCTTAATTAAGGCGTTTACAATCAATGTTCATGTTTTGACATAGCTGAAAGTGCTCATGTACCAAGTAAGTATTAACGTAACTTAAACATTGTCTGTGCCAGACATATGTGATTATTTGTAAATAAGTTTAGACTTTTCTTTCTGGCGCTCTCTCATCGTATCTCAGGCACTGTATCTGTTGTTGTCACTACCGAGGATCGGTAACCGCCTGCAACCAAGATGTCCACTAAAGAATGTTTTCAATATGGCGAGATATGAATCCGAGTACAGGTGCGCCCTGGGAAAACTTACTCACGGTTTCCTGTCCTGTAACCACGCCCTAATCCATTTTAGAATATCTCCTCCAATGCCATGAGCCTCCACTTTTCGTATTAGTCTTTCGTGGGGGACTCTGTCGAAGACTTTGCTCAAGTCGAGGTACACCACATCATATTAATAGATTTCAGCAATAAACTACATAAAATAATATTAACTTCCATTACATTCGTCAATATTCCTTGCCAAGGAATATTGATTACATGCTTCAACCAACGTACCGGTTTGGCGTTTGGACGCACATCTAAACGACTTATGGCTTACAAGACACTGTAAATTTACCACTTCATATTCCCCGAGTGAAGAAGGAAGAAGTGCCTCATTTATTCATTAACAAAGTAAATGGTGCGTAATAACATGTGTTTACACAATTTACACTGGATTTATATTTATTCAGTGTTTTGAGTAACTGTAATCTAGCGGATTTCTAACGAATATTATAGGTCAGTAAAGCGGGTGTCTTCTGACATATTTGGCAACTCAATGGACTTAGGAGTCAGGCAGCCTGCAGGCCAGGCTCAGTCAGTGACGGAGTACAACGCTCGTGTGGTCAGTGTTTACACAATAGCCGCGGTGATGAGTACTTTTCGCCTCGCTTCTCGGTTACTCAGTCAGGTTGTGGGTTCATTCCAGGTTTCAGGTCTTCATCAAGGTCCTCTTCAAGCTAAAGGTCCTTTCAGAGTACAAGGAGTGAATAGTGACGTTCGCAGATACACGTCCAGCTTACAGGAAGAATCAGGGATAATGAAGTCTCCGTTCAGTGATGTGGATATACCTGATGTCTCGTACTGCAAATATATATTTGACGCTCAAGAATCTTTCGCTGGAAGAACTGCTCTTGTAAGTATAGAGTTCTTAACAACCACATGTACAATATTTATTTATTAATGAATGACGTACAGTAGATGTTAAGGTATTGTTATAGTTTCTGCCATCCAGCGAAATTTTGGATTTTAAGTTACCAAACCGTCCGAGAGAGATTTTGGTTAGATTTGGTTGAAATTATGTTTTTCCTATGGTTTTTGATGCGTTTTGAACGATTATGACCGATTTCCAAAGGTTCATTATGCACTGTACATAGACAGTACAGGTATACCAATAGTGGTCACCAGTCAGTCCAAATAACCCCAAAAATCGTATTTTAATTGTGGTGTCTGGATTTATCTTGAGTGTGTTACTGTAATAGGAAATCTTTTAAGTTTTGCGACGGTGAAAGCCACTGTGTAAATAATGTTAAAATATGGGTTGTGTTTGTACCTGTCAGTATGTCACAGCTAGGTGACTATATGTGGTCTGTCACTGTGTGTCACAGCTAGGTGTGGTTTGTCAGTGAGTGAATTTAATTTTAATTTTTAATTTTGTTGTGGCCTGCAGCTAGTTTATTGTGCACCCTATACTCATCCTGTGAGCGGTAGCGCAAATAGAATTACAGAGTGTAGGCCACAAAGGGTGTTTACCAGACCCAGTGATTTTGATATAAAATTGAGTGTTAGAGTATTTCCTGTACATTGTTTGTTTAAGTCGGTACATAAAATTTTGATAAGGTAGGCTACTAGATGCCAGGTGTGGATACAGCCCTAGTATATCAGCTATCTTGTCATCAGAGATAAAGTGTTGTGCCATTGCATACACAGTGTGCTTGGATCTATCCCAATAAGACTCTATTTTTTCACTTTCTAAGACGTAATGTTTGAGTGTGTGACCATGTCCAAGCAGTGTTGTCTTGGACAGTGGTGTAATGGTCAGCATGCTCGCCTCGCAAGCGAACGGACCCAGGTTCGATCTCCTGGCAGGGTGAAACTATAGGGCCAATTGCAAGAACGGTTATAGGGTGTACGGCGCCATTTGCGATGACCTTCTTGCCCTGGTCTTTTTTCAGCAATATCACCTTTAACACATGGAATTCTGTACTTTTCGAAAATTTGAAGGATTCTCGAAACAAGTTTCCTGGTGGGAATTATTAGCTAGTGCTGTACTCAAAATATCGAAACTTCGAGATCTCTCCAGAGCTTCAAAAGGGTGGTATAACTGAAACAAGATCAGGGCAAGAAGGTTATCGTAAATGGCGTCGTACACCCCACGACTGTTCTTGCAATTGACCGTTGGAGCGAGTTTCTTACGCCATTTGCCTCTGTCTACCCAGCAGTAATTGGGATCCTGGATGTTCATCGATTCTCGGATCGTGTTCCGGGGTAATGGTTAGCCAGTGCAGTTGGCGAGTTGTCCAGTCTTCTCGGACTATTCCTTGACACTGGGTCATGCAGCTCGTTAACTCAGGGTGCGGTTGTTATGGTGGCGACAGCTTCAACACCTTAAACAAATTCACGCCTAGGTGGCCCTAGGGCCGGCCATCCTCGTTACACGAGGGGCAAACATTATACTGTATATCATAACACTGTCGGGCACTAAGTTCCCTATGCCGGCGAGAAAGTGGGATTGAAAGTCAGTTGCTCACTGTCTTGGTTGAACGTTTAAAAGACCTTAAGGGCAGTTCACTCTCAAGAACAGAGAAAAGAAGGGGTTATAACCGGAGTCTGATGTGAAAATGGTGCATAAGAAGATATGTCTATCTTAGTGACACATTGATTAGCGATCACTAGGATTTACCAGATTACCTAAAAGGGTCTGATTAATATACGACAACGAAGCTGGTAGAATATCAGTATTTGGTAGCGTGGTACTGGGCAGTGAGAGGAGGAGGATGGTGACTCCAACAGGTTGTGGCGTCGGTAACTTGACAGGGCTAGAAGGCTGCCTGGCCGTTTATCGGCTTCGCATCAACAGGACACAAAAGTGTTGATAGTACCCTATTGTGATGTTTAAATGAGGGTTTAGTGTGTTCCAGTTGAGTCCCTGTAGACCTCCCGCCTGGGATGGCAGGAATCAATACCGCAAGACCCCTTGGGACCGAGAAATCTCCGATTAATCCGAAGCTCGCTCCCTCCACTGTGCCAGTCGCCGAAGAGATCATGAGTGAGGTGCCGTCTGATTCCTGATATATGCTACAGACTTTGAATTGATTCAAAATGTCCAAAGGAGGGCCACTAGAGTGGTACCTACAGTTTGGCCCCTCATTTATAATTCAGGCCGGCAAGGTGTGACAAATACAAGTATAAATACCTCAGAGGATTACTCAGTTGGGTGTTCACACTCATCATTAGTAGATGAGGGGCGGGCAGAAAACTGCTAGTGCAAACTTTGTTGGAGTGAAAGTTATGACTTGGAACAACTGCCAGAGAGTGATGTGACGGCACCGAATGTGAGCTCATTCAAGACCACATATGACCAACACTGAAGCAGGTACAGATACATTCTGGAGTCAGTACTTACCAACACTGCGTAACAAAGATGTGACTGACCAACTGGGAGATTAGTGGCGAAGAGGATAATGCAAAGTAATAACATTGAGGAGGTCTGTTCACTCTCACATCGACACATCATCAGTGGCAACCAATGTAGGGATGTTGTCTTCGTGGCTAATCCTAAGGACAGAACTTATCACATTGTTTCTCGCGAAGTACTTGAAATTGCGCTCGTCACGTTATCGAGCTGGAAGATATTTAGGTTAGGTTAGGTTTCTCGAGAATCATTCACCTCTTTGACCATCTCGAGAGACAACGTGATGAGATATATCCACCTCGGCCTACTGTCATCATTCTATCCTTAAATAATATAAATATCATAGGGGACACGACACTACCTTGCCCTACGCCACAGTTAACAGTGAACCACACATATTAGCCTTCGTATGAGACCGTATCCCGAATGATATTGAGGGGGGCAGGTTAAGTAAATATTAGGTTAGCATTAGGTTAACGTAGATTATTTAAAGTTAGATTAATCTAGGTTAGGTTCACATTAGAGCGGTTAACTTTAAGGTGAAACAAGTTAGGTTAGGTTTGGTTAGACGAGCAAAATTTCCCGGCTTCGTTGGGGTTAGGTTAGACAGACACACACGCTCCTCTCCAGATGCTTGTGGCTGCTGTATTTGACCTGTATATGTTTTTAATTGATAACAGACACGAGTGTTTACTGACCTTGTTACCTTACCACCCTAGTTGTCTGAGTGCAGTAATAACTTGTAGAAGGTGGGTGGTGATACACAGGTAGTGGGTGGTGGTACACAGGTAGTGGTGGGTGGTACACAGGTAGTGGGTGGTGGTACACAGGTAGTGGTGGGTGGTGATACAGGTAGTGGGTGGTGGTACACAGGTAGTGGTGGTGGTACACAGGTAGTGGGTGGTGGTACACACAGGTAGTGGGTGTAGAAGGTGGGTGGTGGCACACAGGTAGTGGTGGTGGTGATACACAGTGATAGTGGGTGGTGATACACAGGTGGTGGGTGGTGATGCACAGGTAGTGGGTGGTGGTACACAGGTAGTGGGTGTAGAAGGTGGGTGGTGGTACACAGGTAGTGGTGGGTGGTGATACACAGGTAGTGGGTGGTGGTACACAGGTAGTGGGTGTAGAAGGTGGGTGATGGTACACAAGTAGTGGTGGGTGGTGATACACAGGTAGTGGGTGGTGATACACAGGTAGTGGTGGGTGGTACACAGGTAGTGGGTGTAGAAGGTGGGTGATGGTACACAAGTAGTGGTGGGTGGTGATACACAGGTAGTGGTGGGTGGTGATACACAGGTAGTGGGTGGTGGTACACAGATAGTGGGTGTAGAAGGTGGGTGATGGTACACAAGTAGTGGTGGGTGGTGATATACAGGTAGTGGGTGGTTATGCACAGGTGGTGGGTAAGGTGGGTGGTGATACACAGGTAGTGGGTGGTGATACTTGGTGGGTGGTGGTACACAGGTAGTGGGTGGTGGCACAGGTAGTGGGTGTGGGTGATGGTACACAAGTAGTGGTGGGTGGTGATATACAGGTAGTGGTGTACACAGGTAGTGGTGGGTGGTACACAGGTAGTGGGTGTAGGTGGGTGATGGGTAGTGGTGGGTGGTGATATACAGGTAGGTGGTGGTGCACAGGTAGTGGTGGGTGGTACACAGGTAGTGGGTTAAGGGTGGGTGATGGTACACAAGTAGTGGTGGGTGGTGATATACAGGTAGTGGGTGGTGATACACAGGTAGTGGTGGGTGGTACACAGGTAGTGGGTGCTAATACACAGGTAGTGGGGTGGTGATACACAGGTAGTGGGTGGTGACACACAGGTAGTGGTGGTGATACACAGGTAGTGGGTGGTGGGTACACAGGTAGTGGTGGGTGGTGATATACAGGTAGTGGGTGGTGGTACACAGGTGGTGGGTGCTAATACACAGGTAGTGGGTGGTGATACACAGGTAGTGGGTGGTGTAGTGGGTGGTGGTACACAGGTAGGTGGTGGGTGGTGATACACAGGTAGTGGTGGGTGGTACAGGTAGTGGGTGCTACACAGGTAGTGGTGGTGATACACAGGTAGTGGGTGGTGATACACAGTGTGGGTGGTGATACATAGGTAGTGGGTGGTGATACACAGGTAGTGGGTGGTAATACACAGGTAGTGGGTGGTGGTACACAGGTAGTGGGTGGTGGTACATAGGTAGTGGGTGTAGAAGGTGGGTGGTGGCACACAGGTAGTGGTGTGTACACAGGTGTGGGTGGTGATATACAGGTAGTGGGTGTAGAAGGTGGGTGGTGGTACACAGGACTGGTGGTGATACACAGGTAGTGGGTGGTGATATACAGGTAGTGGGTGTAGAAGGTGGGTGGTGGTACACTGGTAGTGGTGGGTGGTGATACACAGGTAGTGGGTGGTGATACACAGGTAGTGGGTGGTGATACACAGGTAGTGGGTGGTGATACACAGGTAGCGGGTGGTGATATACAGGTAGTGGGTGTAGAAGGTGGGT